CCTCAGAAGGGCCCATGGGCACCTTGATAGCCCCCACCCGCAGCACATCTGACCCTAGGAAGGATGGGCTCAGACCTCCAGAATGAGGGAGATGGCTGGCAGAAGTGTATGTGTGAAGTATGGGGAATGCACAGTGGGGAGGGTTGTGGGTGCACCAGCCTAAGTCCACCCTGGGCTCAGCTCCAGCAGGCATGAGAAGATAGGGTAAGCTCCATACTGGTGCCAGCCTGTTTGGAAGGGAAGCCTAGGTAGGCCCATAGCAGGCCCACCCTCTCAGAGGGCTTCCTGGTCCTGAATAAGCTTGTGGACCTGTCCCTTTACCCCTTCCCACTGTTGCCTGCTGAGCCTCCTCAGTCCCTGGATGGCTCCAGGCAGCAGGGCATGACCATGCTGGACTCTGCCTTCCCTGGCATCCAGGTGAACTACACTCTGCTGGCTAACATCTGCAACCTCTGGCGCAACTTTGATGATATCCAGGACTCCTGGAGGAGTGTGCTCTTCATCCTGGACTGGTTCGTGAAACACCAGGACATTCTACAGCCAGTGGCCGGCCCTGGACACTGGAATGACCCGGACATGGTACCAGCATGGATGGAAGGGAATGACCCTAGACCCGCAGTCCATGAAAGCCCCACTGCCCGTGCTCTCTTCCTTCCTTGAGGCTCACTCCCAGGTTCTAGGTCAGCTTTTCTGAAATGTGCCCCTGAACTGGGTGTGACGTGTTGTGTCAGACTCACCTTCAGAGCTTATTTACAGTGCCTGACCATGGTCCCTCCCCCACCTTTTGCATCAGAATGTTCAGGGAAAGGTTGCAGGAATGCCCATTGTTTCTAGAACTCCAGTCTGTAGCAACCAACTCTCCAGTAAAGATGATGCCTGTTCCTTGCTGTGTTGCCGGGCCTAGCACCTAGACTGTCCTCCTGAGCCTCTGGAAGCTCTTCAACACCCTCTACCCTGCTGTCCTACAAGCCCTGCCCTGCCCCACCCTCTAGGCCACAGCTTCTGGCGCTTTGGTCCTATCTCCATCATAGCCCTGCTGATTTTTTAAAATAGTTTTATGGTTATCTGTTCATTTAGCCAACAAGTATTTACTACCAATGACAGTTATAATTGTGACTACTAAGCCAGATGGAGGGGCCGGCCTGCTTTGGAGTAAAGCTTACCTGCTTTGGAGTTGTAGCTCCAGCTCTACCACTTACCTCCAGCAAGTAACCCAGTTTTTTCTGTGCTTTTGAGAGTCAAATTTTTAACTCTAAAATGCATATGCCAGACACTGTTTAAATCACGATCACCAAGTACCATGTTGAATTAGCAATAATGGTTTATGTCCTGTGGATTGGTTGTTTGCTCTGGGGTCAGGAGTTCCCGTGGGTTCATTCAGCTCTGGCTAGGGCAGGTGGATGGCAAGTGGTAGGTGCAGAGGGACTCTATCCAAGTCTGGTTTCCTACCACTGCTGCCTGCAGTATGTTTCTTGACTCACTATCCCCATTTACAAACTTTTTTTAAAAAATATTTTTAGTTGTAGATGGACACAATATCTTTATTTTACTTATTTACTTTTAGGTGGTGCTGAGGATCGAACCCAGTGCCTCACATGTGCGAGGCAAGCGCTCTACCACTAAGCCCCAGCCCCAGCCCTCCCATTTATAAACCACTAGACACTGTCTCAAAATAAATAAAAAGGGCTGGGGAGAGCTCAATGGTGGAGCATTTACCCAGCATATACCAGGGCCCTGTGATGCAGCGAGAATATCATCCTCCCATGCTCCTGATGAGGGGGAAAAAAAAACAAACCCAAACTGATGTGCAGATGGAAGGGGATTTATTTGCCCCATGGCCACATAGCTGCACTAAGCCAGGTCCACACAAGTGACTCTCATTCCCCAGTCTATCCCATGCCTGTCTCCCTGAGGAACACAGATGATTGTTCCTTTCTTCTGTTACCAGCTGCTCATTGGGAACTTTGGCCTCAGCTATGAGCAAGCCCGGGCACAGATGGCCCTGTGGACTGTGCTGGCAGCCCCCCTCTTCATGTCCACAGACCTGCGTACCATTTCCCCTCAGAACGTGAACATTCTGCAGAATCCACTCATGATCAAAATCAACCAGGATCCCTTAGGCATCCAGGGACGCATGATTCTCAAGGTACTGGGGTGTGTGGGGAGGGCTGAGAACTGGGCTGTCCTGAAAGCAAGGCTGTCAACCTGGAGGACAACTGGGGACGGGAACAGAGGTGGGGCTGGGTCTCTGAAATCCCTTCCTGGTTGCATGCAATGGAGAACTGCTGGGAACTGCTCCAACTGCCCTCTTCTTGCCTAGGTGAGAGCAGGGCAGAGCAGGACAGCTCATGGGCATGAGGCAGGGGCACATCACTACACAATTGCTCAGGGGAACAGTGAGGCATAGGGCCACTGCACATAGGTAATGTTCTCCAGAGAGCTAGGGCTTTCTTCTAGAGTTTAAGAAATTGTTTTAGCCAAGACCTAACATTAGTTTCTACTATTTATTGAGCACCTACTGTGGCTCAATACATTTTAGATATTTTCTTAGCAAGGTGGATACTCTTACCTGTTTTATAAATGAGAAAAACTGAAGCTTCCAAAATCTAAGTAACTTTTTATCTTAAGGTTTCATAATTGGTACAAATAAGACTTGAGCAATCTTGTGAGCTTGTGAGGTAGGGCCTCAGGCATTATTGTGTCCTAGCATGAGGGCTGGCACAAAGTAGACTTTGGTGTGCATCCGCTAAGTCAGAGAATGAAGATAGGGCTAGATAAGTTGGGGAGGCTGTGATATCATCCCCAAGCCTCTGTATGACACAGAGGGACGTCTGGGAAGTCTGACAGGCTGTGGTGGCCCCACTGAGCCTTGACCATAGCCTGAGGGGCTTAGAGCTCAAGGGAGGGCCAGGAGGGAATTTCAAAACCTCTCTAAGCAGAGACCTCAGTCATAACTATCTTTTATGCCCAGGAAAAATCCTTAATTCAAGTGTTCAAGCGGCCCCTGTCTGGGGACACCAATGTCGTGGTCTTCTTCAGCCGTAGGACGGACATGCCTTTCCGCTACCACTCCTCCCTGGCAAAGCTTAACTTCTCCAGCTCCAGAATCTATGAGGTGAGTCCCCTGCCCCTGCAGCCCCTGGCCTTGCCTCCTGGAGTCTGGTTTCCAGTTTCCTGGGGGGGGTGTCTACTGGGGCTGACCCTCACTCACACATAGCCTCCCTGTGCCATGGGCTTCAGGGCCTCTGGCAGGTGCTTGTGCAGCTACTGCAGGCACTGAGGCCTGGGGCTGTTCTCTGCACTGGTTTTCAAGCAAAGCAGACAGAACCATGAGTCCCCTTAACCTCTCAGGTTGCTGCTGTTCACTGGGCAGCCCTGGCTGCTACAGCCCTCGTGGCGTTTCCCAGGCTGGGGCTTTCTCTGCTACCCTTGTTTGGACATCTGTGAGCTTTGCTGGTGGAAAAGTGAAGGGAGGTTCAGGGCTCCCACTTCCATAGGGCATACTGGAGGCCTGCACAGACAAGCCAAGGTCCTGGCACTTCTCCACACTCTGAGGGGCTTTCTGTGCAATTCTAATTGCCGCCATTGGTGATGTCCCTCCCCACTGCAGGCCCAGGACGTCTTCTCGGGTGAAATCATCAGTGGCCTCCGGGATGATACCAGCTTCACAGTGGTCATCAACCCTTCAGGGGTAGTAATGTGGTACCTGTATCCCATCCAGAAGATGCAGAAAAATGTGCAGAAGTCCCAGGTCCCACTAATGAGGATCTGGGATGTCTGACAGGCAGTGGTGGCCCCACTGAGCCTTGACCACGGAGCCTTGGTATGCCAAGTGCAAGCAGGTGGGGCTCTCTCCTCTCCAGGCCCACTCAGCAACCTGACCTCATCTTACCCAAAGTGCAGTTGCAGGGTCAGGTTCCATGTCCTACCCAAGTGTGGATCCTATTGGAAACTTCTCTTGGGGCAATTTCTTGTGGCCTTCCTGGCCTCTATCTCATCTCTACAGCCCCACAGATATTGCTGAACAATTTGCCAACCTCCTGAGCCACAGGCAGGGGCACCGATGCCCATCAGGACTCTAGCCTCCAGCCTTGTTGTTGACTGTGAAATCAGGATTTGGAATTTTTCTAATTGGGAATAGAGATCTGACCTCTTGCTAGAACTCTCATGAATTGTGTGACTGGCTTTCCTAGCCTGAGAAGGCCTTGCAGACTAAAACTACCTGGAAGTGGGGCCAGAAAGTGGGGCTCCCTGAGGTCACCAATAAAGCTTTTCTTTAGTCAAGTAGTTGTTACGTGGACTTGGGATAGGGCATGGACACCTTCAGTTGGGGACTCTGGGTGGCAATGCACAGGATGAAGGTTTCATGTGTCCGATGTGTGGCATCTTGTGGCCCCTCATTTTCCAGAGTAACCTACAGATTATACTCCTTAGAAATGCCAGACTTGCCTCACCGCAGGGACCCTTCTCTGCTCTGCATGACACTCTGGTGGCCATGGTGGCAACAAAATGAGGCAGAGTAGTGTTGTTCCCAGGGCCTATTGGTTATGCTTGGCACAGCAGTGTCTCCTGCCTCCGTACCTCAACCTGCTTTCTTTTGGTGACCCCACCTCACCCCAAATTCTCTCTCTTCATTATTTCTCTCCCAACCTGGCTACAAAGGAAGTTCAAATTTCTCAGCTATTTCCATTTAAAAAAACAGAAACAAAACCCATTTTCTATTGTCTGATCAAGAGAATGGCAGGTTCTTGCCTGCCTCCCCAAAACTACCTCCTTCAGCTCAGACCACAGGATGCCTCTCTCCCATGGTGGCCCTCTTTCCCATTTGGAAAGCTGATGGCATAGCAGGTTGGCTGAGTCCTCTTTGGGCCTTAAATTGGGAGCTGCAACCCGGCACTGCCCTGCCTTATGGGTCCTCTGCTGGGCAGACCTCCCCTACTCCCTGCCTCACGATCTTGAAGTCCTTGCATCTACAGTAAGGTATAAAGCATTTACAAGTGCACATTTTATATGGTTTAATATTACTGGAGTTTTACGATTAAGTCACTAGATCTGATAGTTGAGTCCCCAGGGAAGGTTCCCTGTCCCCAGCTGATGTCTTGAAGCTATGAAGTCACTCAGGAAGACAGAGTCTACCCTGTCCCGGCCTCTGTCCTTGAAGGCCCATTGCTCTGTACATAATTCCATCCTTGGGTCTTGGCCAAAGTGCTCTTCAAGACAAATGGAAACGTGTTGGTGGAAACACCTCTTCTCTTTCCAGCTCTGGGAAAGAAGCTAGAGATGGGATGTGAATATAGAATATAGGGATTGAGACCACAGACAGGGACTGGGGCCAGGGTTCAGCTGAATTTGACGAATCAGTACCCTTGACTTTCAGACTCAGAAGTGGTCACACATCTGTGCTTGCTTTAAAACATGTCCTTTCATCCTGGGGTTGCCTGAGTAGTTCTCCTATTTCCATACATGCTGCCTGTCTTCCAGGAAGGACACTGTTCTACTCTATTCTGCCCAAGGTCAGTGAGGAACTCAATTACTTTTTTCCAGTTCAAGGTAGCCTTACTTGGACTCCAAGGGTAGCCCTTCTCTTTTGAAAACTGTATTATAGAAATTTTTAAACACAAAAAGTATTACAATAAATCTCCATGTACCCATCACACAGCTCCAAGAGCTTGTGCCAATATTTCATTTCTCCCTACATACACTTTTCTGAGGTGTGAACTAGAATACTGAAAGCCAATCTCAGAAACCCTAGGTACCACTATACAATCTCTATCAGGGTCTTTGAAATATAAGTCTGACTTTAATACAATCTCCCTATGTAAGGAAGCAGAATTCTATAATAATATATGTCCAGTTTTTGCCATTGGTATCAAAATATCTTTCTTTAATTTGTTTGAATCAAAATCCAAAAAAGGGGTCAGCAAAATTGGCTCAGTAAGAACCACTGGAAGTTTGCATGCTCCATAAAAGCAATGAAAAACCTGCCACACAGGTCAGAATCATCTTACAGAATTCTGGAAATTATTCAAAGACTTCTAACAGCCCAGTTGAGTTTCAGTAATAACAGAAAGCTTCATGGCATTTTAACTTTCTTTAGTACTAGATTTTAACAATTATTTTAAATGTGTTCCAAGAGCCAAGGGAAATCATGTCTGATGAATTAAAGCAAAGAATAAAACATTTCAAAAAATAGAAGGAAGATATAGAAATTATAAAAAAGAACCAAGTATGAATTCTCAGGCTGGAAAATATAGTATCTGAGATGAAAAATTCACTACCGAGATTCAATAACAGATTTGAGTACAGAGTAAAAGAATCAGCAAGTTTGAAAATAGTATGTTGAAATTAATACAAGGAACAGAAATACTAATGATTAATGAACAAAGCCTCAGTGTCCTTTGGGATACTATCGAGTATACTAACATACACATAAAAAAGAGGGAGGGGCTGGGGCTGTAGCTGAGTGGCAGAGCACTTGCCTGCGACGTGTGAGGCACTGGGTTCCATTCTTAGCACCACATCAAAAAACAAAGACATGCTGTTCATCTACAACTACAAAATTTTTAAAAAATAAAAAGAGGAAAGGGGCAGAATATCTGAAGAATTGTAGGAGTTAAGAGTTCCTATATTTGATGAAAATACTAATCTGTATTTCCAAGAAGTTTAACAAACTCAAAATAGGATAAACTTAAAAAGTTCCATACCTAGGGGCTGGGGTTGTACCTCAGTGGTTGAGCGCTTGCCTCGAGTGCGTGAGGCCCTGGGTTCAATCTTCAGCACCACATAAATAAATACAGATATTGCGTCCATCTACAACTAAAAAAAAAAAAAAAGAAGAAGAAAGGAAAAAAAAAAGGTCTAGACACATCATAAAAAGAGAAAGAATTCTGAAAGCAAGGCAAAAATGACAAGGGAGGCTCAGCAAGCTACCAGAAACTACAGAAGCTGGAAGGTTGATATATTCAATAGAAAATGACTGTCAATGAGAAATTCTATATTTGTCCAAACTTCCAAAAATGAAGGAAATATGAAGATGTTCCCAGGTAAAATAAAATGAAGAAAGTTCATCTATAACTGACCTGTCTTGCATAAAGCACTGAATAGAGTTCTTCAGGCTGAAATAAAAGAACCCTGGATAGTAATCCATATGAAGAAATAAAGAGCACCAGTAAAAACAAACATTGAAAAACAACATATATGTATTTTTTGTTTGTAACTCCCTTTTGGTCCCTGATTTAAAAGACAACTTTACAATGCAATAATTATAAATCTAAAATGGACAAACAATGTATACAGATGTAATTTGTAACAATATCAGCAAAATGGAGAACAGAGCTATCTAGAAGCAAAGTTTTTGTGTTCAATTGACATAAATTGTTATTAATATGAACTAGACTGTTATAAACTAGCTATCAGTGGTAATTCCCTGAAAAGCATAGTTTTTTAAAAATGACAGCTGGGTTAGGAGGTCCTATAGCCCTACTGACTGGAGGCTGAAGCAGGAGGATTAGGTTCAAGACCAGCCTGGGCAACTTAGCAAGCCCCTGTCTCAGAAAATAAAAAAGGCTGGGGATACAGCTCAGTGGTGGAGTGCCCCTGATACTCTACCACTTCCCAGCACTGAAAAGAAAAACTGATAGATTAAAATAGTACAAAATAAGATGTTATAATAAATAATAAAAAAGGCAGAAATACAGGAAATAAGATAACTAAAGGAAATGCCAAATGGCAGAGATAAATCCTGCCTTATCTACAATTACATGTAAATACATTAAACAGATTAAAAGACTATATTTAAAGCATTTTCTCACACACACACAATCCAAAAATAGTCTTCTAAATATGATCAAAAACATTCAACATCTCTAGCAATTAGAAAAATGTAAATTAAAACTACATTGAGATTTCATCTCACTTCAGTCAGAATGGCAATTATCAAACATATAAGTAACAATAAATGTTGGCAAGGATGTGGGGGAAAGGTTCACTCATACATTGCTGGTGAGAATATACACTGCTCTGGAAAGTAGTATCAAAATTCCTAAGAAAATATGGAATGGAACTACCATTTGACCCAGTTATCCCACTCCTTGGTATATATCCAAAGGACTTAAAAATCAGCATACTATAGTGATGCTGTCACATCCATGTTTATAGCAGCTCAATTATAACAGCTAAACTATGAAACAAGCTTAGGTGCCCTTCAACAGATGAATGGATAAAGAAAACATGGTATAGTAATATACAATGGAATATTACTTAGCCATAAAAAGAAATGAAATTATGGCATTTGCCAATAAACAGATGGAACTGGAGACTACCAGGCTAAGTGAAATAAGCCAGTCCCCAAAAAACCAAAGGCCAGAAATTCTCTCTGATATGTGGATGCTAAAGGGTGAAGGGTAGGGAAGCCTAGAAGTACTTTGGATCA